AGGAAGTACTCTTCGTGCATGTGAAGGTTTTGTACCCAATACGGCAAATAGATCAGATTATTCGTTCTGACATTGTTTTTTCTCAACGTCTTCCGGATCGTTCCAATTGCCTTGCGTACATACTCTATAGCTGAGAGAGATTTATTAGCTATGGGCACTGGGGAATGTGATTTTGCTTCTGGGTCAACCAAGGTGAATTGTGAGTGGTTGACATAGAAACAGACTAGCAATGCAAAATGAGTTTCTTTTACGCCGATCAAATGAAATAATAGAGTTCTAACCACAAGACACCGCTTTTGACGCACCAAGTCACCTCTATGACAAAGGGAAATGAAAAAAGGACAATCACTAGCGCTAAAAGAGTCAGCAGAAGAATTCTCACCCACTGGTGGAATATGAATCATTTTTTTGGCTGTAGTAGAGCCCCATAGAGTATGCATACTTACTATGATTAGTCACAGAATGCCTTGTCCATTACGTCTTCATGCTTTGTCATATATTGGCTCGCTGTAAAGAACAGCTAGAAATAGCTCAAACGAAGGGTCGCTTCATATTTATTGTTTTGACGCTCTTATTCATTTCCTACTTTTTTCCAACTCCACACCTGGGCGGTGCACTTGTTTATTGATTTCTTCATTATCCAAAACCAGTTTGTATCATTCATTGGACTGCTTTTTGATGGCTTGAAGATCACTTTAAAAATAGATGAAATGTAAGGTAACTGAATCGTTTTCAACCAGACAATTGTGTATTTTAGGCAAAGAACTACAAATCTTGTACTTTTTTCTAGTCAAAATTGCATATCCGACCGCCTCATTCTCCATTTAAGAACCAAAAATGCCCAATATCTGTTCATCGATTCTTTGCAATGACTAAATAAAAATTGAAAAAAACGTCATTTTCTCCCAGTTGCGATGAAGAAAATGGTGTAGTGAGAAATTTGTAACAGTTATATGCGTTGTCACCAACGATTAATATCCTGTAAGCCATTCGATGTTCTTAAAGGTATAAATCCAGCTCAAACGATATGAAACAGACAGTCGTAAGTAGCTCCAACAAAACTGATAACAAAACTGTATGAAGGTAATTCTAAGATAAAAAATCAACCATAGCAGTGCTTAATAGCTTTGAGTTCAATACACCAAGACAAGGTGTCAAACGTTTTCTGGATTCTTTATGGAAATCCAGATTCCGTCAAGAGAGCTTAAGAACCCTGTCACAGAACTTGAGACAACATCACAGGTTTCGAAACCGTTTAAAAATTGTTTGAAACCTGTTTTTTTCGTTAGGAAACTTCTTAAATAGAACTTTCAGTTTAATGCATGTAATTTTCGGTAAAGAAAACTATAGGCTGTAGAGAATCCAATACATTAAGAGTGCGCTGCTCATTGATAAATATCCCTAGCAACCATTTTAGTACTCAGTTCCAGTCTTGTATCCAAAAACACTACTACATTATTAAGGCGCTTTTTCATATCACAGTTTTTCTAAGATTTATTTCTAAATTTCCTAACCAACTCGTAAAAGTATTTAGTTACATGCAATAAAAGTGTGGAAACATAGATCAGTTTAATTTTTTGAAAGCTCTCGACTGTACTATTGCGGCAAGTGGTTCCGCTGGACACTAGCCAAACTTACAGATGCAGGAATGGAATGAAAGGGGATCGTATAGAAGCGTACGAATGCAGATATGCGGGAGAGACGTGCACGAGGGCAAATGGGCGCAAGGCAGGTGGACGCAAACTAAAACTAGGAGAGGCAAGGGCAAGGGGCGGGCAATTCATGGAGGCGACGGAGGAGCGAAAACGGCGATATGCAGGACGAGAAGAGGCAATGTCAGCTGCAATAATGACACCACCATGTCGACCGTTGATGAATTGAGAAGTGCAAGAAAGTAATGGGCATGATGGAGCGGAAGCCTTTGGCGAAAAGTACCATAGAAGAGCAGAGAGTTGAGTGATACATAGAACAGTGAGAAAAAGACAGCGGTGAAGATTGAGAGAATCATTCCAGCCTTTGTGCAGTCTCATATTTCCCTGTAGGCTAGGATGCCTCCTCCACTGCGCAAGCCCAACCACCATGTCAAATCAGGTACAAAGAACTATACTGAGGTCTGTCAGCTTTATGAAAAATTTGATGTAAACTTTTTTGTGCACTGATTGTCGATTTTATGTCAGATATTTGAACTCTTCCGATAAAGATCGGCACCAAAGTGGTAGTAAATGAAGAAAATGACTTTTTTCTTGAGATGTTTTCCATTTTGTTTATTGGATATAGTTTGGAATGGCTAAAACAGTAATTGTTAGGTGCATTTGCTCAGAGTTGTCGCTAGTAAAGTAGAGTATAATAAGATAACATATGTAAAAATGTTTTTACTCGAAGCAATAACATGATAGAATGTTGAATTGAAATGTATACGTTATGTCTAAAGTTGTGTAAATTCTATATTAAGAGTTAGTAAATTGGTATGGTATAAAGGATAAAACAAATGTTAAGAATGACCCTGAGTGACGTTGTATGTCCATCAAGCCGCCTGGGATGACTCCCATGCTTTTCAGAGCAAGCTTTTTTATTTGGTGGATGACCTTGGAACGTTTGGCTGATACCGTACGTTTGAACGAATGGCTTTTCTGCTTCCAAACAGCTATCTCTATATAGAGAAAGAGTTTTTTGTCTGCTTTATATATCAGTTTGCGGTTTTGGTGGTGAAAGGGTTAAATGAGCCTGCGCGACCCTGCTCGATCAGGTCTCTAGTTTCTTCAAAGTTTTAAGAAATTATGGAACTGACCAATCAGCAGAAACGACTGGTCGATCACGCAGCTGGTTTGTTCGGAGAGACCCTCATTATGGCCCCCGGGATACCAAGGATACTGACGAGCAACAAGAGACCATCCGACGAATCGCATGTTGGAGCAGGTGAGCCTTTACTCCTCGCTGGTCTTTCTGGATGCGGGGCGGAGGCAGTCTCGGGGGGAAGAGCAGATGCACCGCTCTTCTCCCTTCCCGCGCGCACATCTCGGTTTTGCCTGTTGATCGCTATACAAAAGTAGCAATGAATACAGCACAAGCAAGATAAAGGCAGGGGTTCACTTTTTACGCTCTTGAAAGTAGGACAATTGGCTGGTCTCTTAAACCAATGTTTACTTCGAGCATCATCCAGTCACAAAGCTATCTTTCCCATGCTACTCCTGCCCCCTGATCCTCCATAGACGAATTGATCATATCCACACACATACAAATCTATCAATACGAAGACGCGCACAAACCACAAATGATCATAAACACAACTTACATAATTTGACTGGGAACACTCTGTGTAGGTAGAACAGCGCTTCGGCCGCATCTAAATTGCAGGAGCTTAGAAAAAGAAACATGAGAAGAGTGGAAAGGGCGTCTAACAGAAGGCAAGCAAAAGAGCTGATCACGCTCATTGAACGCTTTTCTTCCACTTCTCAACAGCGGCAACAAATTCCGAGGTGGCATCTCGAGTTGCGAATCTCAATAAAAAGCACTTTGCGTCCTGCTCTTCGAAGCCTTGGAAGCGAATAGAACGCTCTGTAGCGCGGTCTAGTTTGATGCGATCATACAAAGGGGTGTTCAAAATGACACGGAACACGCCTTCGGAACGCATAAGTAATCGCACCTTATGCGTTTCGTTGTGCTCATTCATCTTGAGGGCGCCGACTCCACGTTCACGCCAGCTTTGCTTCCCTTGTTCGCCTTCCAACGAGTAGAGCTTGGCGCGATTACGAAACAGATTAGTTTCCTCCTCTTCACCTGAGGTGACGGGTTGTTCCTTGAAGACGTGGTTGGTGGCCTTCGCTGCAGGGGTTTTGACTTGAGAATTCTTGAAATTGAAGGCGTTGTCGGTCTTCGCTGCCGTGGCGAACGACACCGTGTTGAGCGATGAAGCGCCTCCAAAGATTATGGCAGGTTTGGTACCATTAGTGGCGTTTGAGGCGGGTTTGGGGGCGGCGGACGGCTCAGGCGCCGTGGGCTTTTCGGCGGAGGGGGCTGATTGAGCGTTGCTGTTCGCATTATCGCTTTCATTTTCGCCGTGGGGGGGTTGATCTCCGGGAGGCGCACCTTTTGGTTTAAAGGCGTCGGTAGTGGAGTCGGGCTTCGCGGGTTTGACGGGTGTGGCCGGTTCGGGCAATTCGGGCTGTTTGTTCGGGACTGCGGTTTTGGCGGGGACGTCAGAGAGCGGTTTTTCGGGGTGTGTGGCGGGTGGCTCTGCAGGTTCTTCTTGAGGTTGTTCTGGTGGCTTTTCTGCGGGCTGCTCAGCCAGGGGTTGTGGTTGCTCAGGGGCTGTGACAGGGGCGCCTACAGCGGATGGGGGCTCGGCGGATTGCACTTGGGTAGAAGGCGGCTTCGGAGGTTGATGCTTGTCGGATACCGGCGGCGTTTCGACTTGATCCGGGTTGGACGCAGGAGGATGCGGCGGCGGCGACTCGACCGGTTGGGCGGCTTCTTGAGCGTCGGCAGGGGGGGCGGGCTGCGCAGGCTCGGAGGGCGGGGCGTGCGCGGCAGGGGGAGCATGCTGGGGTTCGGAAGGCGGCTCGGGCTGCGAGGCGCGCAGGGTGGCGAAAGGGTTGGAGTTGTTCGACGCGGGTTGAGCGGAAGGTTGAATGGTACGACGGGCCTTTAAGATGCGGCGCTTTGCAAGTACCTCGGGAGCGGCGCGTTGGAAGGGGGCGTTGCCGTCGGTGTGTTCGGCGTCCGCCTCGTCGTCGACGTCGTCGCGGGTGAGCTGCTTTTCGGCGGCGCGCTTCATTGTGGCGGATGTTTCGGATGAGCCGTTTCGGAGGCGGTGCGGCGGGGGGGGGGAGCGTTTGCTGTGGCGCTTTGCGCATGCGATTTTTTGCTGCTGCTGCTTTGCGCTTGCGCTTCGCTTTCCACACTTGCGATTCGCGCGTTTGTAGCGATTGAGATTGGACGCTGTGATCCCGCGATGGAGAATAAAACGCAACTGATTACACGAACCGAAACGTGGTGGACATGGGCCTGTAGCTCAATTGGTAGAGTGCTCGTTTCGCATCGTACACCCGAGACGCTGGCGCGTGGGAATCTACGAGAGGTACCGGGATCGAAGCCCGGCAGGTCCATACTTTTTTTATTTACTGCTGGTGTTCGGTGTCCGACTGAATCCGATCGAAGCGAAAGAATTCATCCCGTGTCCCGTCCTTCAAGCTTTGCGCTTGTTCTTTCTTGTCGGGAGGGAAGCGCAATACCCGTGCACCCTCGTATCTCCGTGCGAAGATTCGAGCTGCCCAGTTCGGTATTTTGAGCGAACTTTTGAGCTTTCTACCAGAAAGACGGGCATGGCACATCGAAGCCAACTCGCCGAAGGGAAAGCGACGCCCCCAGCATCCCATTACATGGCGCCGTGAGTAATTGCCCTCCACCCCAGCGTCATGACCACACACACGCGCACAGCAGCGCCGCTGCGCGAAACGCAGCTGACACAACATCCATCCACCGCAAACACCGTGTCGGCCGCGCCATCGCGTCAGCGCCCTCAACCCATCCCCGTCACCCGTCGCGTCACCCCCGCCCCCCTCTCGTAGCGCTCCCCGCACCCCCTCCCCCACCCCCCACGTCGCAGCACTCCACTCGCGCCAATGCGCGAACAATGCCTTCTCCGCTCCCCCCCGAAAATCCACTCCCCAGTCTCCCACCCCCGCAACCGCCGCTCGATGACGACTCCGCCCCCCCCGTCGTCCACGGCATCGACGCCATTGTAGACACCCAACCCGACCCTGACAACGCATCTCCACCCCCTTCCCCAACCATGGAGCCTGACTCCCCCTCATCTCCCCACCTCCTTCCCGTTCGTCCTGGCGACCTTGCCGCGTTTGCTCAGCTTTTTGCGCGCTTTCATATCCGCGTCGAAAAGGCTGCCGCAGGTCGCAAGTACCGCCCGCTACGGGATGCATTCGACTCTGCCGCCGCTCAAATCGCAGCGCATCCGGATAAGGTCCACATGGACAACCTTTCCGAACTCGTCATAGACGCACTTCGTCTCGGTTGTGAGTCCCGCAAGACAGCCATCGTGGACGCTTGTCTCGACTGCATACACCGTCTTTTCGAGTACGCCCATCTCGGCGCCACCTCGGATGCCACTCAAATCCGTCTCGACGCCCGTCCCCCGGCCTTGGATGAGGTCGTTGCCATGGTCTGCGCCTGTCTCGAAGTCAAGGATGAAGACGTGTATTTGCGCATGGTTCAAACTTTGCTCACCGCTACAACGCGCACTCGCACCGGCTTGCATCAGGGCACGCTACTGGCTGCTGTGCGTACCATTTACAACATTTACCTCAACGCCCGAACCCCTGGTACGCGCACCACTGCGCGCGTGTCCCTCACGCAGGTGCTTAACCTCGTATTCAGTCGTATGGAAGCTGAAACCGCAGGCGATATCACATCACTTTCGTCCATTTCTTCTTCGCAAGCTGTCGACGTTCCTAAACCTGCCGAGGAAGCTGAATCTCATTTTGCAAGCGTGCTTCAGAAGGATGCTTACTTGTTGTTTCGCGCTTTGTGCAAACTCTCCGCAAAGGAGGTGGCTGATGCCAATGCACCGGATGCCGTCGCACTGCGTTCAAAGTTGCTTTCCCTCGAGCTTATTCGAAACCTCATCACCAACAGTGGCCCTGCTTTCCGAAGTGGTGAACGCTTCATATACGCCTTGCGTCATTATCTAACACCTTCTTTACTAGTTAACTGCATGCTCAATTCTGGCGATGTCATGGATATTTCGTTTGACATATTTGAGATTCTACTGCGAAAGGATACGCTTCGACCTCTGCTTAAAACCGAAATCAGTGCTATGTTTGATACGGTTGTTTTCCGTTTTCTTGAATCCCCTACCGCTGGTCCTCTGCGAAAGCGACGAGCTATTACATTACTGAACCGCCTCTCATCTGACCGCCAGACCATGGCCGATCTATTCCTCAACTATGACTGCGACTTGGAGTCACCGAAGATTTTTGAGCGAATGTGTAACGTTGTATCGACAGCCGCGCAACACAAATCTCCTTCCGAGTCACCGGTCAACGGTACGCAGCATACTACGGCTCAACCTGATGTCAAGCGTATGGCGCTCACTTCTGTAACACAGATCGTTCGATCCCTTCGCGAGTGGTCAAAGCCAATCGAGCATTCCAAGGGTCTTAACAAAGATACCAGTTCTGACTCCATTCCCTCGGAGTCACCAAGCGAGCTTACCGATGAAGAGAGCATCCAGAAATCCGAGTCGGAGAGCAGCGCAAAGGTGAGCAACGGAAAAATGGACGCGGATCAGTCTCCGGAGAAGACCAGAAACGAGACGCCTTTGCCGCTGAACCGGTCGACTTCAGGTTCGGCGAATGTAGGAGTCATTTCTGAAGGAAACGACAGAGATACAACTCGCTTTGAAGAGACACTCAAGGCTAAGCGTGACACAGCGCATGGTATAACATTGTTCAACACCAAGCCGAAGCGTGGCATTGAGTATCTTGTCAAGAATGGACGTCTGAAACAAGAACCACTCGCAGTGGCGGAGTTCCTTCACAAAGCTGAGAATCTCGATGCGACAATGATTGGAGAGTATTTGGGCGAGTCGGGAACCTTCAACCTTAGCGTCATGCACGCCTACACCGATATGCACGATTTCACGGATATGACATTCGACAATGCTCTTCGATTGCATCTCAGTGGATTCAGGCTTCCTGGCGAGGCTCAGAAGATTGATCGTATCATGGAGAAGTTTGCATCACGGTACTGCGAATGCAACCCCACCATTTTTGCCAATGCTGATGCAGCGTATGTTCTTGCTTATTCCACTATCATGTTACATACGGATGCGCATAATGACACAATCAAGAACAAGATGACCAAAGAGGAATTCATAAAGAACAACAGAGGCATCAACGATGGCGGAGATCTTGATCCAGTGTTTTTGGGCAACCTATACGATCGAATCACCACCACAGAGATTCGTCTTACTTCGACGAAGAAGGACTCGACAGGTGGGGATTCCAAAGCTCTCAACAATGCTTCCAGTACCACGGACCCAGCGCAAAGAGCAAAGCAGTTCGAAGAAGAGAGTGAGAGACTCATGGCACAGACCAAAGTGCTTTTCGCTAAGAATCGCCGCCCGGCCCAGGACTACACATACTATCCCGCAACTAATGTTCATCTTGCACGGTTAATGTTTGAAACTGCGTGGTATCCAGTCTTGGCTGCGATCTCGTTAAACCTGGAAGAAGCGCAGCCTGCTGACACGGGTACAATCGCGCTTTGTCTCGACTGTTTCCGAAACGGAATAGCAATTGCGTCCACCTTTGGCATTGTAACGTCGAAGGACGCGTTTGTGTCTTCGCTAGCCAAGTTTACCCATTTGCACTCTATTGCGGAGATGAGGCCCAAGAACGTAGAGTGCATTCGCATGATATTGGCCATTGCCGCTCTTGAAGGGAATAACCTTGGCGACCAATGGGTTCTTATTGTGCGGGCCATTTCTCAGCTGGAACAAGTACGAGCAGTCGCCAGTGGGAATCCCGGAAAGTTTATGCTGCACAAAGAACCACTCAAGGGTGTAACTAATGCTCCAACTGGCGAGCGCAATGGGACTGTCAACGCACGAAAGTCGATGGGAGCAATTACCATAGAGAGTAGCGCAGACCAGTCTGCGTCACCCCAGCACGTTCAAACCACAAAAAGGAACTCTAGTGGGCGTCCGAGCTTATCGGATGGAAGCTTACCAGCGGTTGGGAGTGTGAATCAGCGTATTGATCCGAAAGCCGCTTCAATGGCATCTACTATTGCCGAAAGTGAAATCGAGCGCATCTTCTCCAACTCCTCAAAGCTGTCTTCCACTGGAGTTTCTGATCTTTGTGCTGCGTTGTGTACAGTCGCACTGGACGAACTTGGTGAGAAACCTGCGCCTCGTATCTTCTGCATGCAAAAGATCGTGGAGATAGCGTATTACAATATGGATTCTCGCACTCGACTTGAATGGGGGAAGATATGGGAGAAAATGGGCCAGTTCTTTGCCTCATCGATGTGTCATCCCAACAGAAGTGTGTCTATGTACGCAGTTGACGCACTGAGGCAGCTGTCTTCCAAGTTCCTTGCGAAAGATGAGCTGTCTAACTTTTCATTCCAGAGGTCATTCCTCAAGCCTTTTGAAGCATGCTTTGCAAAGTCAAAAGTTATTCAAATACGCGAGTTTGTGCTCACTTGTGTGTCGCAACTTGTTCACGCTAGAGCACACAACATCAAGTCCGGATGGAAATCCGTGTTTGGTGTTTTGGCTTTGGCAGCGGATGACAAGGTTGACGACATTATGAAGATGGGATGGGAACTTGTTGATTCCATTACTCGAAAATACATTGGTAGTATCGATGATGTATATGTGGATGCAGTTATGGGGATTACAGCGTACACCCGAACAACAATTTCAACAGACGTACCGATTGCGGCGATAAGTTTGCTAAGCGGACATTGTGCATTTTCGTTAGCAGAAGGAAAAGCATTGTCAAGCTTACGAGGAAAGGAGTCTATGAACAGCGAAAAAGACGGAAAGGTTGGTGAGAAGGGCATATGGTTCACCGCAGATACAGAAGCTCACATAGGAAGCTGGTTTCCTATACTGACTGGCCTTGCTGCGGCTTTGCAAGATGATCGGTCCCAAGTGCGCACGGCTGCCAACGCGGGGTTATTCAAAGTTCTTGAAGAGTACGGTGGACAATTCTCACCTGATCTTTGGGTTCTTATTTTCCGCGGGGTAATATCCCCAGTCTTTGATGATGTGGGGTATTTGTCGTCCAGTGCCGATAGAGTTGAGGGTGCCGCTATAGAACAATGGGCGACCACAACTGGATTAGCATCAATGAAGGCTCTCGTAGACGTTTTTGTACAACATGTTAATGTGACCAGAACGCTGTTACAGGATCTGCTGGATATAATTCGCAGATGGATTTTGCAGGAAACCGAATTCGTCGCTCGTGAGGGAATGTTTATGTTGGACAGATTGATTACAAAGGTGGGATCAGCGCTCAACGACGAAGACTGGAATCTTTTTGTGAAACATATTCATTCTTTATTTGTTGACACGATCCCT